AACAAGCTCGTGCCGATGCTTTAACGCGAAAATGAACACAAGAAAAAACACAAAAAGGAGGGGACGAAGAAGAAGAAGAAGGGAGACACCGCGACGAAGGTGTTTTTCTTTTGTGTTTTTTTAGAGTGAAGTTTTTTTTCTCTTCTTTTTTTTTTTTTGGCAAAAAGGCTCGTTCCACGACGCGCCACAGTGACGGCCGACGCAACGTCTGCCCTGCATATACGCAACCGACGCGACAACTCGGCACACATTCTTTCGTCATCACTCGCACTTTTTGTTATATAGTTTTTTTAACGTATACACGGTACACTCCGTCGTTCTCCTCCCCCCCCCCCCCTCCCGTACAGGCTCATTTCCTCATACACCACAGTGGTTGTGACGGGTGGGGAGAGAAAGGAGCGCTTGCACGCAACGGCGACAATGTGTTAGTTCTTTCCGTTTCTGACAAGCCATAGTTTTAACATTGCGCGGCATTACTGCAACGAGGAAGTGAGTAAGTAGACGTCCCACTCACAGTATATATATATATATATATATATATATATATATATATATATATATATATATATATATATATATAAGGGAAAGAAGTGTATACCTAAGGGCTCGTTTTTCTGTGTTTTAACACAATATTAATGAGATCTAACAGACAGTAATGCCAAGGAATGTACAGGGGAAGTTATTAGAACCAATGGAATGTAAATAAGAAGAAAGAAAAGTGGATGAAAAAATAAACAGCCGTGAGCAGAAATCGAACCTACGACCTTCGAATAACTTCCCTTGTACATTCCTTGGCATTACTGTCTGTTAGATCTCATTAATATATATATATATATATATATATATATATATATATATATATATATATATATATATATATATATGTGTGTGTGTGTGTGTGTGTGTGTGTGTGTGTGTAATTACCTAATTACAACAGCGTAGTAAAAAAAATTACAAACAAGACATAACGTGTCCCGTGATTACCTTTGTTCAATCAATTCCTTTTATTTCACTGCATTTAACAAGAGAAGCGTTCAGGCGTGGTTCCGACGAAAATAAAGCCATATATATCAGCAACTGAGCGAAAGCGGGGAAAAAAAATTAGGGCGAACTACATAATGAAGAAACAGGCCAGATAAAAAGATAAAGAGTAAACACCAGGCGCCGTGAGCTGAAAGTGAGGACGCCCCGTGAAGAACTTCGCCGAAACCATTTTTCGGCAACACCAAGACACCTTTCGTTCATCCACTCGCGAACGACAAGGAAACCCGCCGGCATCTCGCTGGGAAAAGGGCGGTTCAAGCCGGCTTAGAAGTGTTGCGGTTTATGGCTAGTTCGTATGACATGACGATAGTTACAACGCGAGAACAGAACGGCCTCCTTGTCCCTTCGTCGTGGTTCTGTTCTCGCGCTATAACCATATCGTCAAGCCAGCCAATGTGGGTAATACATCGTTTCAAACTTTCGAAAGCGTTCACCCTCCAAGCGTATTGTCTCATATGCAGATATCATCTATTAAAAAAAATCTCATCATGTCGCGGTGTCACGACTGGAAACCGGCTGTGCCTCACAAGTGTTTTTGTCCACGTGCTCGTCATGCCCCGCCAACAGAATGGGTGGTTTTTGTTTTAACAAGTTTAATTGACCCCAGTTTATATCGTAGTAACATACGCTACATCTTAAAAACAAATAATGCACCTCCTGATTTCCTTGACCTTCACGGTATGTTGGAGTCATTCGGTTGAACAAACTAGCGCCTCGGTCACTGCCCCTTATTAAACACTGAAGTATATAGCCTGCAACGATCGCGGGGTAGAGTCCCGGCTGTTGCTGCCACGTTTAGAGGGAGAGAAAAAAAGGGATCATGTGATTCGGTTTAGGTGCACATGAAACACTTCAAGCATCAAACGATCAAATTTTTGGAGCCCTCCAATTTTATGTCTCTCAGAATGATACCATAGTTTCGGGACGAACAACACCAACGAAATGTCGATAAGAACTAACAGACAGTGCCAAGTAAAGTATATAGCCTATAGGGGATATCATCAGTGGCAATTGTGATGTAAATGTGAAGAAGGAAAAGCGGACGAAAAGAGAACTTTTTCACTCGCAATACTATTCGTCCAATTTTTTTTTCCCTCCCGTTTTGCTTATAATTGCTACTAATAATATCCACTATACTTTCATCGGCATCGTTCGCTGTTAGTTCTCGTTGATTGATTTGTGGGGTTTAACGTCCCAAAACCACTGTATTGATTATGAGAGACGCCGTAGTGGAGGGCTCCGGAAATTTCGACCACCTGGGATTCTTTAACGTGCACCCAAATCTGAGCACACGGGCCTACAACATTTCCGCCTCCATCGGAAATGCAGCCGCCACAGCCTGGATTCGATCCCGCGACCTGCGGGTCAGCAGCCGAGTACCTTAGCCACTAGACCACCGTGGCGGGGCTGTTAGTTCTCGTTGGTATTGTGTCTAACGAAGAAAACAAGCCCCTAAATTTACACCTCTTTTTCATCAACAATCGGTATACACATGGAAGCGTCCTCGCGTGTGAAGATACCGATGCGACAATTGCTTTAGCGCCATGTAACGCTCGCTGTAATACACGGTGTTGCACTTAACGGAGCAGAAATTGAGCGCTTTCGTGTGCGTCACAAGTTTCTCCGTGCCGATCGCGCAGCAAAAACGGACTTCCGTGCGTCGGCGATCCGTTGTAAGGCAGGTAATTTGATGTCTTCATCTATACTGGTTGCGCCGCACGCTATAGTGCTAGCGCATCTGAACAAGAGAGGAATGCGCGCAACGGGGGCAACGCCCTTCGTTCGACATGTCGTAGTTGATGCTCGCGATTTAAAAAAAAAAAAAACGCCACACACTTCTCTCCCTAAGGGGCAAGCCAGCATTACGAAGCTGTTGGAGAGACTTGACCAACGGTTATATTTCATCTTACGAAATAAGTTTTAAATAAAGAGCAAGGCAACAACTCGCTTTTCTAGTACACGTGAACTTGACTACAATGAAGATAACATATATGAAGATAACAGATAATATCATATATATATATATATATATATATATATATATATATATATATATATATATATATGATATTTTTACTCGCTCCAGAGAAATATTGGTAATGGTGGTTTCGCGCGACAGCTGAAACGAATGCGCGACTCAATCCGACGCGACGATGGCGGACGTATAAGGTGGGTGTGGCTTCCAGCAAGCACAGTTGTCAAGCGTTCTATCATGCAACGAAAGTTTCACTCGAAACAGTGCCTCTGCGTAGATGAATCGAAGTCCACCACAAACGATTTAATGTGCGGTCCCAAAACTCCACAAAGAATTAACCACATCAATATTTATCTTCCTGCCAACCCCCCCCCCCCCTCCCCGCCTTTTCAATAGACAGGGATGCCATCGTACGCTGGCAGTTACACTGACGACGTCGAAGCAGAGTAACCTATAGAAACCAGCAGCGTCAGTCACGAGGGAAAACCCAACGCGTCCATACAAAAAAAATATAAACAAAACAAACAAGCGCGTGCCGAATCTAACAGATGCGACCACAACGAACGGAAGGCTATAGCTGCGCGTGCGTATCATTCATCTCGCCCAAAACTGGAGCAGATCCGAAATCCTTGGCTTCGCGTCAAAGCAGCTGCAGCTGCAAGAGGCCGGAGAGATAGGCCGCGGCAGCTGCAACTGAGTCACACCGCGATGCACCGACGCGATCGCTGTAAACAGTGGCGAGCCAGGGTTGTCCTTGAGACTTCAAACGTCGCCCAGGATTTGGAGATTCTCTTGGCTGCGCCACCCAAATCCGGGGATTCATTTTTTTTTTTTTACGAGTGAAACAGAGCACTAACTAGTTAGGTCAACCGTCGAACTCGCAACTAGATCATAAAAAAAAAACCCGGCTAATGTGCATACACACTATCGCATCGCACGTGACCATAACTTTCCCTGGTTCAAAGTGATAGCAGCTCTCGGTTACTTTCCTTTTTGTATCTTGTCTCCGCGAGCTGCTTTTTCTCACGTAAAGATGACCTCTCACAAACTCTGCCCTTTACTGAATCCAGGGGTGTTTTCCGGGTGCACGCGCGACCAGGCCAGACTCTGCAAGACAGGGGCGTGGGCCGGAGCCCCTAGGCGGCCGCCCTTTTCACAAGCGCACTTTCGGCTCGCCGTTGGCCAAGGCCGTCTCGGCGCCGATAAGGGCCGGCGGCGCGGCGGCGCTGGCCCCGAGGTCGACTCGCTCGTAAAATAAGCGAGGAGGGGGGGGGGGGTAGCGGTAGAAGCAGAGACGGCGGCACCCTCCGCCCCCGCGACATTGTTGCGAGTGCCGGCGGCTCCCCTTATCTAGGAGCGCGTTGCACAAGAGCGCAACGCGCCGACGGCTGGCGCAAATCGGAGCGTCCGTCGCCTCCGCCCCACCCGATCCGGGCAAACACGCGCAACTTGACAGCTGCGTCTGTTCGCGAGAAGGAACTGAATTATAATAACAAAACGACAAGACGGTAGGCAACAGTACGTGCGGCCTGCACAGTCGTCACGGCTGTACGGCTTCTTGCTCCGCGAACGTCCCTCACTTGAAATGCCTGCTTGCGTGTGCTGTGCGCAGTGCACATAACGGTGGGATGCCGCGGAGAAAGCTGAAAAAAACTGTAGCGAGGCCCTTTAGCCCGCAGATCAGAACACTCATGCAAGGGTCGTTGAACATGCTGTCGACGCATGAATGAGTAACATCTCCGTGGCGGTGACCATGGTCGCACAACAGCAAGCCACCGAGGGGCACGATGCAAACGTACGCGCAGGTGGCGCCGCCGCTCGGCGAAATACGCAAGCAAAGCGGCCGACGAGCCATGCAAACAGAGAAGGGGCTAGACTAGAGGAGGAGGTTAGGAAGAGGGAGAGCGGCGGCCGCCGCCGAAGGAGGGAGGAAAAGACGGCGGCGGCCGCGTACAATCTGGCGGCGGTCTACGGTACTCACGCTTGACGCGGATGCTGTCCAGGTGGAAGAGCTGGCTGGCCTTGTTCCAGTCGGACTGCTTGGCGAGCAGGACGGGGTCGTCCGGCGTGTCCATCCCCGCTGCCGCTGCGCCGTCACTGCGGGCGACCACCATGGAGACAACGGGGCACCATTCAGCCCGGACCAACAACACTCAGGGCACACACACCACACACACTCGCGCGAGAGCACCACTGCTGCACACTAACACACACAGCGCAGAGAGACGGAAGAGCTCGTCGACCAGTCGCGTAGTAATCCGAAAAAAACCGATGGACACTGCACGCTCGTTTTCACGGAACCATCCCCATCGTGGACGCCTCAATCCACCGCCGCCAGCGCTGTCCTTTCGGAGGAAACCAACATAAAGTTTCGCCACTCGGAAAACGCGCCCCTCCTCGCGCTGCCGCTATCCCTCTCTCCGCCGGCGCTGGCTCTTTTCTGCGCTCGACGCCGACGAAGGAAAGCGCGCCGCCGAGGGAGAACGCAGCACGGGCCACAGGCGCGCACAGCAACAGCGGCGGCCCCTGGCGTCGTCTGCGATAGCGACGCCCCATTGGCCGCCACGGCGCCGGGCCGACCAATTGCGGCGCGGCAGACGCGGCGGCGACCCGGCCGACGACTGCGGCTGGCGTCGGGCTTTGCGTCGAGGCAAGCGACCGCTGGCCGACGACCAAGAGGGGTCGACAGGCGGAAACTAAACCATCCATTCCCTACACACAGACCGCCGAAAAACAAGGGAAATCGGCGAATGCGGCTAGGGTACAAAATGTTCGCCGCGGGCCGGCGGCGTCCATGTTCGTCCGCGCCGTCGCGGAAATCCCTCTCTCGCCAAGCCAGCCACGCAACCGAGCAAAACAACAACAAAGCGCTCTTCGCCGCACAACACGGATCCGCGCTCGCTGGAGGCGCTCCGACGTCGCCCATCCACTCGGCCCGGCGCGACCTAGAAACGGCGGCGGTCGCCTAGCCGCGAGTTTTTGAATGAACGCTGCGGCGGCGGATGCAGAGAAGTGTCGGGCCGCGCCTACGCTCGTCGTGTTAGTACGTACGCGCGGGGCACGAAAGCTTCCTCCAAGGACGGCGGCTGGCTCCCCCCCCACCACCACTCCAAGACGACGGCAAGGCAGGAAGCAGCCCGCTGAGAGCGCAGCATCTGACAAGTGACAGATAAAGAAAAAGAGGCCCCCGCTAACCCCCCTCTGCCAGCTGTGAATGAAGTCGGCAACAGACAGCCTCCCCCCCCTTTTTTTTTTTACGGCGGACCCGGTTGAACGAACGCGCCCCGCCTCGAGACAGCTGCTGCCAGCTCGATCGGCAGGCAGCCTGCTGCAGTACTTGTTTCACTCTCGCGTGCCCTTTCACCGCCGAGGTTATGCCCGCAAACACAGCGTAAAATACGCGCTGCTTACTTCATTATTTGGTCAACTTACAAACGATGCACACGTGAAAGGGAGCGGAATATTTGATCGCACAGGTGGCTACAGTACTCGGGTGACGATCCACAGGTCGCGAGTTTCATACCGACCGAGGCGATCGCATTTCGACGGAGGGTACTGCTAGACGCTCCTGTACTTAGATTTAGCTTCACATTAAAGAACCCCAGGTGGTCCAAGTTTTTGCAGTGTATCCCACTATAGCGTACTTGATAATCACATCGTGGTTTTGGCACCTCAGATATCATTATCATCAAGGAAAAAAAAATCAAGTCGAAAATTCAAATAGCGGAGACACCTCCCTTTGAAGCACGGATACGACCCACATATTTATGCATATCTGGAATGTAGAATATTGCCCATACCACCAGAAAAAACAAGACGAACGATGATGTCAACAGCACTGTCATCATCTAGATCATAAGAAACCCGGCCCTCAGTGGTGTACCTCGATGATGTGTGGGATTTAACGTCCCAAAACCACCATATGATTATAAGAGACGCCGTATTTCCGACCCCTGGGGTTCTTTAACGTGCACCCAAATCTGAGCGAACGGGCCTACAGCATTTTCGCCTCCACCGAAATCAGTGGTGTACATTGCCAGCAAAGCTGTTGCCCTGCAAAGTTCGAGGACGCGGGTACGACTCCCGGACAAGACCGACCGCATTCTGATGGAGGTGAAACGCGAGAACATCCGTGAACTTAGACATATAGTAACATTTTTTCAAGAGCGAAGCTTTTTATGGCGCGTGGCTTGTGCGTCCCTCGTTGTAGTGCGTAACCACCGGCGGCACATACCCGAAAGATCCGCTGGATGTCCGCTAGATGGCGGTACTTGTATATGATGAATACATGATTAAAAGATGTGATATGGCGGTACTAGAAGTGTCCACTAAATAGACGGATGGACGGACAGACTGACGGACGGCCGCACGAACGGTGACACGGATGGAAGCACGGACGGACTGACGAACGCTTCGTTCCACCAATCATCATTCGCCCCATGGATATGCTGTGATTTTTCAATTAATAAAGAAGTAGCAAGCAAATTGATAGTAACTGCGTCACTTAATACCTTTCTTGAACCGTTACTAAGCATTTGCTACCTGCTTACTGCCTGCGTAATGGGTAGTAACTGCAGCCTACCAGGCTGTTGACTATCTGATCGAGAATAGCAGGTAATACCTATTATATTTTTAAATGTTTAAGTGTAATTGTATCGATAAATCATCTTCAATCGAAAAAATGACGCAGAAGGAATTCATGGATCAAGAAAATAACATTTGTTTTAAATTACGTGACCTAGATATGTAAATATCATTCTGATAGTGTCAAAACGGAGAAATACTAGTTGATAAACCATGAGGATGTGCTACACGCGTTTTAATAGACAATTACAACTTTAACAAACCAACATGACAGAAGGATCAAAATTAACCGGGTGCTCACTAATCCGGAGTCCCTCACTACGGCATATCTCATAATAACATCGTGCTTTTGGCACGTAAGACCCCAGAAACGAATATTGTGTTCGAACTGCTAATGTATTGGCGCAGTGAACCATTAAAATGCCCTCTCACTAAATTTGTGCGTTCGATACCTAGTTTCAACCACTGTATACGTAATGCTTAATTGTGGCTCTTTTACAATAAACAGATATAAGATATCATTTTTTAATATGGCTGATTAAAAGTATTGTCCTATGTCGCCATACACATGTAGTGTTAGGTAATATAATGCAGTGCTTCAGGTTATAAATCATCCTGAAAAAACAAGGGCTCAGCTGTACCATACAAGCATTTTCAAAGCAGTGATATATATATATATATATATATATATATATATATATATATATATATATATTGCGGAAGAACGATGGCCCTACTAGACTCCGTTTCCACAAGCTGTAGGGGCACATCGAGTAGTCCCTGAAATAATTTAGCAACCCAGTTATATTTTGCAAGCTACACCCACAGAAATTAAGAAATGAAAAAATAAATTGTTCGGATTGACTTTTTCAAAGCGTGCAGAGTTTTCCAGTCATTAGTGAGATTAAAAGAGAAAGGCCGCATGGACGCCTCTCTGCTGCGGCTTGCTGTGAGGTGGTGATGCGCCACCTTTCGGGCTTCGCCCGAGTTGGTTGTGTCTGCGCAAGGTGTCGTCTTTCAAGTTGTGCGGTCAGTGAGCCATCCTTCCAGTGTGCGTGATCCTCCAAAGCTGGCGAAGCAGGTGACTTTAAACGTTCTCGAAGGGCTTCGCGTCGAGTGGGAGGCGACAGTGAAAGTGTGGACTCACGTATCACGAGGGCCGCAAAATTGGTGACCCAGGTGAGCGAGAGAACGATGTATCGGTGGAAAACAGGGACGGCGGACGCCGGCAAACTCCCACCACCGAAAAAGCGTTCTTGCGAGAGAAAGGAGGTGATCTGGCGGCGAGAAAGCTGCAGACGATTTTGGCCTGAGCGCCTTACGATGAGTGGTGCATGGCTTTTCATTTTTAATTTTTTTTAGAAAGGTGAAATTCCGATGATGATGATGATGATGATGATGATTTGTGGGGTTTAACGTCCCAAAACCACTATATGATTATGAGAGACGCCGTAGTGGAGGGCTCCGGAAATTTCGACCACCTGGGGTTCTTTAACGTGCACCCAAATCTGAAAAGGCGAAATTCCAACTATCGCCAAAGTGGAGCAGCGCTTCGAAGAAGACCGAGACGCTACCGACGGCGTCCGCGACTAAGATGCAGAGGATGCTGAAAAAGCTTGGCTTCAAGTATACGAGAAATGCTCTCGGAACGCTCTTGAGGACGAAACAGTGAGCAGTTCAGATTCAAGTTGTGCATGAGGACCATCACATGGGAACTCTTGCAACGAGCTCACGTCACTCATTACACGGGAGCGTACAAGTCAGGATCACTGAGCACTGTCGTAGCCAAAATGACAAATGAGGACTATCTGCTATTATGCCAAAGAATCAAGCAACTGACAGCTGAGAAGGGAAAATAAAGCTTTCAGATGGATTCACTCAATCACTTGTTCGTTAACTAATTCAGTGACTGAAGTAAATATTCTAATACACCTGGCATACAAATTACAAAAAACTCGAACGTGACAAGAACTCATAGGAACCGGTGACGATAGCAATAAATAGGAAAGGTCGGGCCAGTTTCATTGCAACGCTAGTCGTCCCGTCCGAAAATAGGCAAAACATTTCAAAAATAAAAAAAATTAAAAGGTACGAAGAACCATCTGGTACAAAAAATAAGAGACAATCAGTATAGTACATCTACTTCCACACAGATGGGGCCACAAGTCGAATTGAACACACGAAGTGCGCTTTGTCGTGATTGGCCGAGAGCGCCCGTACATACCACTGTCGCTGCCAAGAGCTTGTGAAACGAAGCGTAGTTCTTTTTTGGTCACAGCACTGTATACTATACTGTAGCGTAGTGATATTTTACGTCTACGGATTCTTCGCGCTCGTGGCAAACAATGTAAGATTACCCGAAGTTGTGTAGAGATGAGACAGTAACTCGACCATGCAGGACCAACAATGTAGAAATAACGTGGCAAAATAGGTAGAATCAATTATTTTTTTATTAAAATCTTTGTAAGTTATTACCTACGGTTAGTAATGGCTAGGGTAGTAACAGTTACTAAGTGCTGTAAGTAACGGCAAAGGTGGTAACTGTTACTGCTCTCGCCGTTACTACAGCTGCACTTACTAGGAGGGTTGTAACACAAATGATAAACCCTTACTACCCCAAGTTAGCAAGTACTGCTACCCCCTTTTTAAGAACGTACACGTTAAAGAACCAAAGACGCTCCAAATAAATCCGGAACCACCTGTATACAATGGCGTGTCCCATCGATATATTGTAGTTTTGGCAATTCATTAAAATACCTCATAATTCTGTTCACTTATTGTCTTTGTCATCACAAATGGAACGCTCAGAGCTACACAAAGTCGAAGCAAAAATAGAGTCTGTTCGTAAACATGCGCT